CACTAAACTAAGTGGGCCTCTTTTTTTGTGTAACAGATAGTAATGAGTGTTATATTTGATCAAATCATGTGAGGATTTGGAACAGGCCTCAGCTGCCTTTAATTCCTTTATCTAACTCAAAAAAGTCATTTAGGACACTCAGAAATGTGCAAGTAAATTATTTCTTTTTCATTCCTAAATAGATCTTGGTGTGTGAGTTGCCAGGCATCTTGTACATATGGACGTGTCCTTAATTTAACAATTTTTATCCTATGCCCTGTACTGACCTTGTCAGAACACCCAAAATATTCTATATTCAGCTTTTTTCAATAAATTACAAAACTTTCATAGTCAGAGCTCTTTTCCACCACAATAGCTGGTGTTTAAATCATTTAAATGGCGACACAAGCCAAAAATCATACCTTCAGAAATAAAGACCTATATGATCTCTCAACTCTCCATGTAGGCTTATCTGAGGGAAATCCAAAAGGAGAGACTGAGAATTAAAAATACTTATTTTTCATATTCAAGAAAGGGAAAGGCTTTCTCTGGCCAAAGTCCCAAGTCATGAACAGTTAACCACTGTTAGAGAGAACTGGTCAGAACGCACAATCAGAAAATCAGCCAATCACCAACAGCCACACTCAAATAACTAGCTTCTGGAGTCAGCAAATCAGTGACAGCCCTAGGCACTAGGGAAGCATCAGTAAATGCCTCACTCCACTGAGGATGTGATCAACAAGAGCCTTACTCCACCAAGTACATTAACACAGCTGAGAGCATGTCCATACCTAAACACTCTCCCTTCTGAAAGGCCACAATCCCTGAACACAAGCCTTCCCAAAATCTTAGGTGAGATTAGCTCTGGGTTTGTTCGAGAAGACTGTGTTTACAACTGGCCCTTACAGGCAAACTGGAAGCTCATTATTTTTTTGAATCACATATCAAGTTCAGTGTTTATTTTATATCATAAAATATTGATATTTCATATCAAGTTTATTGTTTATTTTACAAGTTTGCAGCCCTCTCAATGGTTCAATTCATTAATGATTAGCTATGAGTTTGGACTTGTGACAGATTCACCGACACAGCTGTGAGATTATCAAACTCAATATTTTCAATTCTTTTTGAAATATTTTGGACTATTATCTATTTTTGTGTATATTTAAATCCTAAATGCCAAAATTCTATACAGTTTGCCAACTGTATAGAAAAAGTCCTTTTGAAGCTCTTTGTACAGTATGCAATTGTTCATTTAACATCAAAAATGGTGGAAAGTCAAATATAAACCCACATACACCAACAGCTATGCAAAAGAGATGAGTGATTTCCTCATATAGTACCAAAGAAGGTGATGCAACAAATTTTTTGGATTGAGAAAAATTCGAAAGATATAAGAATTGCAACAGACACTAATGGTTTTGCACATCAGTCTTTCTACTTAGATGACTATTTGAATGTACAATTACCAGAATTATTTTCTGATTCCAAAATTGCAAGCAAAATTTCAGGTGCCCAGTTGAAATCCACTGTGATAATTAAAGAATGTAATGGCTTCTCTTGCAATTACATAAGTCATCAGAGATCTACACATGTCAATTGTTAGGGCACAGCCCCAGGTACAAGTAATCACAATGCAGAAAAAATGTTTTCTTTGCTTGCATAACATTTTTCTCATGAGAACAGAGCCTGCTTATAAGGCTATTTGAAAGTAAAATCCCTTCCAAATAAAACTTCAGAGACAACAGCAAACTTGTGTAGAGACTCCCTTATTGAGTTAATAAGAAAAATTATACTGCTTTTGTGGAGGTAATATAAGTACAAATTTTTGTGGGTGTTTGTATAAATATGCAGAAAATGTTAATTTGAAACTGAAGCAGGGCACCTGGGTGGCTCAGTCGGTTAAGCGTCTACCTTCAGCTCTGGTCATGATCCCAGGGTCCTGGGATTCCCTCATCAGGCTCCCTGCTTGGCGGGCAGTCTGCTTCTCCCTCTGCCCCTCCCCCCAACTCATGCTCTCTCCCATGCTCATTCTCTCTCTCTCTTTCTCTTGCAAAAATAATTTTTTTTAAAAGAGAAAGAAAAAAAAGAAACTGAAGCAAAGCATGAATAATTCTAAGAAGGTGTTGGCTGTCCTTGCCATATCAAAGAGCACCTGATGTCCTTTCTCTCGACAGTGAGATTATTGTCAAGCTATTGCTTTCTTGCTTCATCATCTAAGCTGTTTGAAGTGAGTGATTAAAAGATTTTTATGATTTTGCTGATGTTCAGTATTCTTCAATTCTCTTGCATTCACTAAACCCGTTGGCTCTCTTGAACAAGTGCAGTTGGGAGAATCCTCGGTTTATTTAAAGCACTGAAATCATGCTTTAATTCTAAAACAAGGCCCAAAATATTCTTATTGACTTTTTACATAATCTCGCAAAGTGAGGCCTTATGTATTTCTTTTTCAGAGTTACCTCTTTAGCAATAGGATTTTGCAAACTGGAAGAAGAGCAAACAGTGTTCTTGAAATGTTCCATTGTATAAAATTGTGTTGAAGAAAGAACTGAGCCCTGTCCTCAAAATGTATCCCTCTGGTGTCAAGTCTGTTCTCAAAAGGGTAAACATTTCTTATGAACAAGAAAAGAAATTCCAACTTGAAGTGGATAATTAGTATGGCACTTGCTCTATCTTTCGAAATATTTTAATACCTTGAAGAATTCAGTTCTTTTATCTGGATGTTACTAAATAGTTTTCCAGCATGGGAAGAAGTAGAGTCATCCCGTGCAGTGTTGAAGAAGACAATAAAATTTGATGAAAATATTCTGGTTTTGCCAATGAACAATTTTTAAAAGACTGTCGATAAAGAAATACAACATAATGGTGAAGAATGCAAAGCAAGCTAAGGACAATGATGAGAGTTGTTAACTTCACAATGCTAATGACCAGTGTTGGTTTTTTTTTTTACCACTAAATGTTCATTGGGAAAAAGAATGAAATAAATTATATGTGACCACTGTAGAAACTATGTTACAATATAAATGGAATAATTGCAAGGAGTTTTATAAGCAAATTCTGTAAAACAAGAAATTGATAAGGCAAGTCAAATCATCAGGGAAATACAATTCAAGAAAGAGGTACATAATTTAGATACTGTGAAAGGTGAAATGAAATGGAGTCACTTATGTCAAGGGGTTTTAAAATGGATCCAGGAGGCCATAAAGGAAAAGGGATTTATGCATGCTTTCACAGGGTGGAACCATGAACTTTTGCACTAGGCCAAAGCTGTGAACTGGGCCAAACTGCAGATATTCCAACAACTCAGATAAAGCATTTGCTATAGGAAGAGACTTTCCTTAGTGATTGTCTTAGCAACCAGTTATAGTCAGCCAAGATTAGTTTTCTGCCACCAACACTAACCAAAATTCTTTGTCAACAACATATAGGAGCACTCTCTTTTGTTTTAAAAACCTCTTTTTTTTTTTTTTGTCCCCTGCGGGGACACAATTTGGGTTGCTACTGAATCTGTGCTTCTTGAAATGCAATTCTGAGACCCCAAATAAATGCTTTTCTTATGTTTCAATTCCACCTCTTTTCTTAGACAACAATACTTACAATTTGTTTCAGATAAACAACAAATAATTTTTAGTATTTAAAATTATTTAGTATGCCCATGCAATACCTCTTTTTTATCTTTATGTACATATGCATAGGCAATTAGAAATAATTCAAAATTAATTAGGTACCCATGTTCTTATTTCTTAAATCTGGGAGGTCTCTATGTGCCTCCTAGGCATTCTTACTTTTGCAGGTCCGCCCTCATATTATATTGAATATATTAAAATACAAACACATCCCACATTAAGAATAATTTTCTGTTGCAAAAATATTAAAAGGAGGCTTTTAAAATTGTTATAGTTAAAAGAAACACACTAAACTTTCACATTATTAAATGACTTTCTAAACATGCTAGAGATTGGACAAGTGGGGAATTCAAAGATCATATCCTCAGTGATCAATAATAGAGAGAGAGGGTTGGTATTATTCATTTCAGGAAGAAGGAAACTAAACAAGAAATCCAGTGGAGCCCCTTCTTTCCAATCAGAAAAAAAAAAGCTGGAGTAGCACTCATATACTTTGATGACTAAGAATTCACTTGGTGGGTGGTGGGTGGGGTTTGGGGTGTGGGTGGTAAATGAAACCCAGCTACTACAGGAAGAAAATGTAAAGAAACAGAATATGGGGAGGAGAGGTTACCTTCAGAGAACTAGGGGTAACAAGGGAAGGAGAAACCTGATACAGTGTATCCTTATATAAAACACAGAAGGAAGGTTTTTAAAAACCACGAAAAAGAAAAAAATTAATTTGGAGACCCATAATTATGACTAGCATTAGATTATCCTATAGTAGAAGGAACCATGTGAGAAGTAGATTTTTCTGGGGAATTAGAGAAGGATAATATGCAGGCTCCTCTACAAGCTAATTAACAGATCATCTTTCAGCTAGCTCCTCAGGGACTCTGAAAGCTGAGGCAAGTAGCTGGAGGAAATCATGAGGGCTAGGAGTAGGGGACTAGAAAATTCAATAATCAAAAAAACAAAAAGAATACTATTTCAATACAATATTTTAGACAATCAAAATTAGTGCAAAAAAAAATCCATGATGAACAAGTTATCAAGTTTTAAAGAAAGACAGTGTCTGACCCTGACTCACCCCACCGGCCATACCTTTATCTTGGTCCTGGGGGAATTCGGTTTTTGCTATTCCCTTAAATTTTCTGCCTGAGTCAAGCACTTTGTCTGCTTCTCCCTCGTCCTGGCCCTGGTGGATCCCATCCGTAAAATCCTTCACCTCAACAGAAACACACACATACAGAGGCACACATATTCCTACACTTCAAATTGCTCCTTGTTGTGAACCCAGTTCCAGCTGTCAGCTCTGCCTCTAAGAATTCTGTTCCTGCCTCCATTCAGCAATTTTGGTCTTGATATTAAAGGCAACCTAACACAATTTAAGATATAAAAATATTTCCCAATTACATTATTTTCTGGATTTCCTTTTGCATCAGACGATGAAATCTTCTCAGGAACTGTGGTCTGCAGAAATGTTTTATGAGAACCTAAAATAAAAATAAGCAAAGTTATTTTGATACCTACAATCCTACATTATCCATTTCTAAATCCAATCCCTCATTTGTTTCTCTACATTACCCAATATTTTTTGGTATAATTTATGTATCTACCCTTCCTTTCCACTGTGTTTTTGGTCTGGTCGTCCTTACCCACAAATTTCTTGGCCCTTGTCAAGATGTCAAGTCTTTATTTTCTCTCTGTCTCCCCATCTCTACACACAGACACACACACATAGAGGAAGAGACAGAGAGAGAGATCCCCGGTTAAGCAGTTGGACCGTTTGGCTCGGTAATACTGAATAACTAACTATGGTATTGTGAAAGAGGTGTGCAAAAGAGAAACACAGGTACAGCAAGAAAATGGGATCATTTGCAGGGAAAGATACAGAATACTGACTACAAGAGTGATCTGCAATTTTCAGTAGAGCAGGTGGAGGATAGCAGTCACAATTAGGAAATCATTGACAAATAGGTTCTTTATGGCGATGCAATTATTTCTAGAATAGCAGAATTCTGTTTGTGGAAAAGACCCCATTATTTCATTTTTGTCCGTTTTACAGACAAGAATACCAGCCCAGAGACGTGAAAAGATGTTCTGCCTGGAGGCTGCCTCTGCTTTTTTGGCCACGGACGCCGAAGCGAACGTCAAGAAGAAAGTGGGTAGGGAAAGTGGGCTGGGATAAGGTCTGGGTCTGGGGCCTGGACCAAAGAATACAGTCCCCTAAGCGAACACAGTCCCCTCCTCCCCCCGCAAGCCTGGATGGCAAGCGGTAACAAGTATCTGGACTTACCCGAGCCTGCGTGCAGCTCTCCAAGCCGGGTGAGAAGGACCAGAAGAAGGAACATGGCTCCGCTCTTTTGGAGCCGGGCTGGCGTTGTAACAGCAGTTGAAGCGTTCGGGAAGGTGGAGGCGCAGCTCGCGCAGGACGGCTGAGCGCGGCAGGTGCGCACCCGCAGAGGGAAGCGCCGGGCGGCGCCGCGAGAAAGCCGAGGGCTCTCCGCTCGCTCTGCTGCCCCTGGAGGTAGCTTAGCTCGGTAACCGGCGCCCTGCGCCGGCGAGCCGACCAGGGAGAGCTCGAGGACAAACTGTCAACAGCCACACACATTGGGCTTATCGTTAAGGAAGGAAAGACTGACATTTTCTTTTCTTTTTTTAAGATTTTATTTATTTGAGAGAGAGAGAATGAGAGAGAGAGCACATGAGAGGAGGGAGAGTTAGAGGGAGAAGCAGACTCCCTGCAGGAGCAGGGAGCCCGAGATGCGGGACTCGATCCCGGGACTCCAGGATCATGACCTGAGCCGAGAGCAGTCGCTTAACCAACTGAGCCACCCAGGCGCCCAAGACTGACATTTTCAATTTTCAGATTAGGGTGGTGCCTGGTTGAGGCTTTCGTTTGTATCTTGTACTTAGACCAACGATCTCTGAAGTACTTTCTAGTTTCAACGAGGAGAAAGAACAAAGATAAAAATGCTCAAGTTACTGCTAGCAATGAGTCTCCTCCTATGGCACTTACATATCATCCAAACAGGTGAAATGCTTATATTTGAAAAAATAAAATAAAAAACTGTGGCAAACACTGTGACTTTTATAAATTAAGTTGGTTCAATAAACCATTATGGGACAGCTGTTGAATGCAGAAGACCCCAGGACAATCTCTTGTCAAATACAGACTCTTCCTAACAAGCATCTTTAATATCCCAAATTATTATTGACGCACTAGTTTTCCTGCAGCCCCTAGTTTTTACTACTTTAATTAGACCTAACTGCATTCTGCCTTTATGAGGAGCAGCAACAGTTTGATTTTTGGAGTCTACAGGCATTCGTTTTCACAGATCCTAGCCCACATGATAGTTAAAAACATTAAAATACAACCACACCCCACATTAACTATAATTTTGCTTTAATATATGTCAAAAGCATGTTTATAAATTCACTTTGAAATTGTTTGGCTATCCCAAAAACTAAAGGAAGTTATTTGCAGAATATAACAGTAAAAAATAATCTTTAAAAAGAACCAAGTGAACAAGAAATAAGTCATAATAGATGGGAAAAGAGCAGGATGGTTATATACTACTTAATGAATTAGCAACTTGTAATATCAGCTTGACAAACTCTCCCAGGAAAGAATAAAAAAGAGAAAATAAAATAATAAAATTGAGATAGAAGAATAGAACTGTCATTATCCAGATAAGAGCATTTCCAGAAGTAGAGAAAAATTAAAATAGAAGGAAATATTTAAAGGGATAGTAGGAAAGTTTCTCTTGACTTAAAAAACAAGAAAATGACCTTAGAAAGGACCATATGTTAAAAACGGGGCATTAAAGGAAAAGCAAATCTGAAATTGAAAATGACAGCGAATAGAAAATTCTGAAGTCTACAAGAGATCACCTATCAAGGAACAAGAGCCAGATTGACAGCAAGAGCCATACTGGATGCATGAAATCAGTGGGTTATTAAAGTGTTGACTGAAAAGAACTTTGAAATATTATTCAAATATCAGGACATGATTAATTTTTTTAATTTTTTATTTAAATTCAATTTAATTAACATATAGTGTATTATTAGTTTTAGAGGTAGAATTTAGTGATTCATCAGTTGTATATAACACCCAGTGCTCATTCCATCAAGTGCCCTCCTAAATGTCCATCACCCAGTGACCCCATCCCCTCACCCACCTCCCCTCCAGCAACCCTGAGTTTGTTTCCTATACTTAAGAGTCTCTTATGGTTTTTCTCCCTCTCTGTTTTCATCTTGTTTTCCCTTCCCTTCCCTTCCCTTCCCTTCCCTTCCCTTATGTTCATGTTTTGTTTCTTAAATTCCATATCTGAGTAAAATCATATGGTATTTGTCCCCCTGACTAACTTATTTTGCTTTGCCTAATAGTCTCTAGTTCCACCCACATTGTTGCAAATGGCAAGATTTCATTCTTTTTGATGGCTGAGTAATATTCCACTATATATATAGTGGAATATATATGTGTGTGTATATATATATATATATTTCACATCTTTTTTATCCATTCATCTGTCAATGGACATCGGGGCTCTTTCCATGTTTTGGCTGTTGCAGACTTTGCTGCTAGAAACATTAGGGTGTAGGTGCCCCTTCAAATCACTATGTTTGTATCTTTTGGATAAATACCAAGTAGTGCAATTGCTGGGTCATAGGGTAGCTCTATTTTTCACTTTTTGAGGAACCTCCATACTGTCTTCCAGAGTGCACCAGTTTACATTCCCACCAGCAGTGTAGGAGGGTTTCCCTTTCTCTGCATCCTCGCCAACAGCTGTTGTTTCCTGAGTTGTTAATTTCAGCCATTCTGACAGGTTTGAGGTGGTATCTCATTGTGGTTTGGATTTGTATTTCCCTGATGACTAGTGATGTGGAGCATTTTTTCATGTGCCATTTGTATGTCTTCTTTGGAGAAATGTCTGTTCATGTCTTCTGCCCATTTCCTAAAAGGATTTTTTGTTTTTTGGGTGTTGAGTTTGATGAGTTCTTTATAGATTTTAGATACTAGCTTTTCTGATAAGACATTTGCAAATATCTTCTCCCATTCCGTAGGTTGCCTTTTAATTTTGCCGACTGTTTCCTTGGCTGTGCAAGAAGCTTTTTATCTTGATGAAGTCCCAATAGTTCATTTTTGTGTTTCCCTTGCCTTTGAAGATGTGTCTAGCAAGAAGTTGCTGTGGCCGAGGTCAAAGAGGTTGCTGCGGCCGAGGTCAAAGAGGTTGCTGCCTGTGGTCTCCTGTAGGATTTTGTTGGATATTTATCTCCATTTAGGTCTTTCATCCATTTGAGTTTGTTTTTGTGTATGTGTAAGAAAGAGGTCCAGTTTCATTCTTATGCATGTGGCTGTCCATAAAAGTTTTTCTTAAGTATAGAAGTTCAAAGAAGGTTTGACATAAGGATCCAATTGGAAAGGTATTTCACAGAAGCAACCAAATGATAAGGGAAATAGGAGATGCTGTTAAACGACATTGGAAGTAATAGTAATCAAATATCTTGGAAAAGTTTTTTTAAATGTAAGAAAATTTGACCAAATGAAACAATGATAATGTGTATTTGTAATAACCTAGAACTAAATTTTAATTTAACAATATTTAACATCATTAATATTATGGAAGGCATGAAAAGGGGAGATGTCAAAATAAGAATTTTCTCAATTTGATTCTAAACATGTACTTATATAACTAAGAATACTAAAAATATATCAACAAAAATTGTAGAAATATAGGGGAAAATTGGCAAAAGCATCATCAGAGTTGGAAATTGTGAACACACCTTTTATAATTATTGACAGGTCAAAATTCAGACAAAATTTAATAAAAATATAAGATAATTGAATGACTCAAATAAGTCTGACCTATTAAACATTCATACAATTCTAAATCAACTATAGAGAACACACATTCTTCCCAACCACTCATGAAACATTAACAAAATGATCATGTCCTAGGTCTTAAAATATTCCAACTAATTTCAAAGACTAAGTACATAATTCAGTTTATATTTATTTCCAATTATATTAATAATCTCTGTATTTTAAGGGGGCCATTTAATCAACTTGAAATTATTGGTATAGTTGGGTTGTAATATATCATCTTCCTGTTGACTTTCTGCTTGCCTTGTCCCTTTTATGCCAGTTTTTCTCCTTTCTTGCCATCCTTTGGATTGATCATGCTTTCTTTTTTTTTTTAAACTCAAAAAACTTTTTTTTTTTTTTTCATTTGCAAAGGTATTTAGAACACATAAAACAAGGCAACATTTATTCTTTCTTCTCGTCTTCCGGTGTGGGGTCTGTGGGCGGCTCCTCCACTGTGGCCCTGTTGCTCTCTGAGCCGGTGTTACTGTCACTGGTCCCTTCCTCAGCCATACTGTCCACCCCCTTCTACCCGCTCTTCTTGTCCTCAGGAGTAGACGTGCCTTCTTCACCCTTCTGTTGGCTTTCGGTCGCTTCTTCAAGGTGTGTCTCCTCTGTCTCCATCGGGATGCTCTCGTCGTCGTCCTTCTCCTTGGTCTTCCTAGCAGCTTGCTCGTCCTCAGGAACTGCGTTCAGCTTGCTCTGCTGCTTCTTTCTCTCCTTCCTCCTGCCTTTTTCGAGTCTGTTCCTCTTCCTGTGCAATTTCAGCAGCAATTTTTTCCATATCCGCTTCTACTTTCAAACCGCACAACTTTTAAGTTCATTGTTAAATGAATCTGTGCTTTCCAGGAGTTTCCTCTTCTTTTCCTGGTGTCGCTCGTCTGTTTGAAGAAGTTCGGGCTTCTAGTTTTCCCTGATGAACCATAAGGACTGGACCTGTCGTTTGAGGACCTGCATTCTAGCTGTTGTGACAAATGACCAGACGTCTGGCACCACACTCCCACTAAGGATTTCACTGATGAAGCGGTGGTTTTTCTGGAAACGGGCAGTGGCTGTATGCTTCATGGAGAAGCCATCATCATAATCGTCTGGATCTTCAGCAGGCTGAATGCTCATGTACGGTTCTCCTTTCTCCATGCGAGACTGTCTCTGTCGACTTTCTTCCCCTAAAGCAGCTTCTGCACGACTTTTTGCATTTATGTAAGCAAGGTGTGCAGGGGAATTATGATAGGCCTTCATAGAGTCATTGTATTCTATCTTTTCTGCTTCGTATTCATTTAAATATTCTTGTTTTTCTTCATCAGTGAGATCTTGCCACATGCCACCAATAATCTTGCCAATCTCCCACAACTTTAGGTCAGGGTTGGAAGGTTTTACTTGGCCCCGGACCTTTCTGCTGTACCTCATGGAGGGCATCAGTGGTTTATCTGGTGGCTTTGGGGGTTTTGAAATCGTAGTACCAGAGGATGCCGAGACCCAGCTGTTGGTGCCTGGGTTCCCTCCCAGCCTGTAGTTGTTGTAGGCAAGATGACTGTATGGATTGTATCCCACAAACCGTGGTGTGCTGGGCATTTGTGTTGCAGGAGCTGGGGTGGGAGGTGGGGCATAAGATGGTCTTTTTGACATTTTGGAAGATTAAGTTCTCAGTTCCTTAAGACTGAATCTGAGACACCGCGGGCAGAAAAGGCACCCACAGCTCCGGCTTCGTTTCCCTTTGGCCTGCGCCTGATCATTCTTTCTTAATCCATTTTCTTTCTTTATTGGCATGACAACTATATAGTTTTTAAATTTTTCTTT